ACTCAACAAAGCGATGTGAGTGGATGTATCGATATTTGTGGGCGGATATAGATGAGTAGTCCTTTATAATTCATTTACGGTCTCGAAAGCCAAAAGGTATTCTTCTTCAAGATCAGCGGGGTATAGTAGCGTAACTTTTGATACGAGTATTTGTCGTATAAAATTTCTTAAGTCCCCGAGTTATTCTTTTATCCCATAGCAATTTACACGGTTATTGTTTAGAACTGATTTCCAAAGATCCGCCTCAACAAGAGTTTTTTTAATTCGTTTAAGAAGCCTCTTCTTAGTAGTGTCGATTACTCCCGAAAATGAACTTTGAAACGCTCTCTTCTTCTTCCTTTATGAACTCTTCCACAAATTGCTCAAACACATCTGAACTGAAAAACGCCTCATAATCACGTAAAATTCTATTCAATTTAGCATGTAACCTTTCTTGAAAATTTTTGCGTCAGCAAGACTTCATCTTCGGTTATATTTGTGCACAACGCAACATGCTGACCGATAATACGGACAACTGAGTCCAAGTTGTCGATAGTCATCTACAGTTAGAAAATTCCTTGAATCGAAAAAAACTACATAAGTGTTTTTGATTTCTTACTTTAAGAAGACAACTTTTTCGTTTGGTTATGAGATCAAAATAGTGATCATTTGGGACAAGGTCTAACCAACCAAAACGAAGACATTCTGAGGTAACAAACCCCCAAAATGTAGTTCCGATTCTTTATTCAAGGCTTGCATTTATGAGTTAGATTTATATGCACATCCTCTCTGGCGTCTTTTTGACAAAATAGAATATTCAATCAATGATCTTAGTTCCGATTCTTTATTCAAGGCAGTAATCGGTTAAAAATTCAGACAAAAGTTTAAAAGAAAAAGCTTGAAATAATTAAAGAAATTTGTATTAATTATACACCCGATGAAGAAAACGATGAGAATTTGGAAGAAATAATGAGTGACGAAGAGTTAACAAATGAGGAATCAGAAAATTCATCTTCAGACGAAGATTCATCTGGGGATTCGACTGTTAGTTCCGAAGAACTACTAAAAATGAAAAAACGAAATAATTAATGAATTGTTTGTTAAGGACAAAAATCATAAATGTTATGCGCGAAATTTAAAAGCTTTCACTCGAACATTATTGGTTGCTGGAATTGTGGGAACAATTTTTGGGTATTAGGGCATGCACAACTTATAACTAATAATCACGTGTAAACATACATTAAAAGAACCACTAAAATATTTTAAGACCATTAAATATTCCGATTTATTTATTCCTTGTAATCAAATACCATATCATTAACATTAATAAAAAGAACTACACACGGCGAAGACTCGCAAGTTTTTTATTGTATTCGTTTACTTCGGCATTAAACCGTTCTTTATCTTTCTTATAAAGGTCTTCCCATTTCTTGATTCGTTTCAAATAAAAAAATGAATCAGTAAATAGAACACGAAATAAAAATACGCAATTGGCCACAATTTGACAATAATTATTCATTTAGATTTATTATCTACCGTGCGATGAGTTTGGAAAGTCAATAAAAAAAATCAAATTCAATTGATCATACCTTTTTTTCTTCCGGGGATAGCTTTCTCCATTCTTCAGCGATATATCTTACTCTCTCTTTAACGTCTTGCATTTTGGCAACAGGAGGCTTTGCTTGTAGCGACGTACTGAAGACAATGTAGGGACTTACTGCTCTTTTCGGATAAGTTGGATCTTTCATAGGTTTCTTGTTGTGAGCTTTTCGAAGTGCGTTCTGGCGAATAATGTCAAGGCTGGTCATTGACTCGAGCCATTTTTTGTGAGCCACCTCGTATTTCTGTCTTTCTCGTGCATATTTCTCATAATAGGGCTAAATAATAAAGTTATAATGCAAGTGTTTTTTGGGAAAATAATCCGTGACATTGCCTTTCCCTCAAACATACTGGAATGCTAATATAAAAAGTATGCACGACACATAAAAACGAATTAATTATAATACCTTCTTTTTTTCTTCCGATAAGCTTGACCACATCTCTCCAGCTTTTTTCGCGAACTCAGTAGTTGGTTTACCAGGCATTTCATCTTTGAATTTTTGTAAATGTTCCATAAAGAAAAGGCCGTAGCTGGTAAGAGGCCTTTTAGGGCCTTCATCAGGTTTCGGAACTTGTTCCTTTTTTGTTCTCGAGGATGATTGCGTAGTCAAGGCACGACAAACCGTGACTTGTGAAGTGGCAACACGTGGATTTATAAAGTGCAAACTAAGAGTTTTTGTGAGTTGACGAATCATTGCTTTTTGGCTCTTATGTGTATGGGCTGAATTCAAGCGCGCACGCAAAGAAATACAAGGAAGGATATATTATTAAAAAATCAAAACTCATCAATTAATTAATAATTAACATGAAACTTCTTTACAAACCAAAAACTGCTGTCCAGAACGAAATTTTTGAGCTCTGATTTATAGTTTTGCGCCTGATCCCGACGCGCTTGATTTTTCCCATTGTACAAAAATATAAAGCATTAATTACCGCATGTGTTGGCAAATGACCTCATATGACCTATATATGACTTACATGGTAACTTACCGTTACAGGGACCCGGATTTCAGTAAGCGGTGGGCATTGTAATCATGTGATTTTAATTTAAAAACTATCTCGGATATCAAATATAACTAATTATATATAAATATGTTTAAAAATATAAAATATTTATTTATTTTAAATATATAATTATTAAAATAAATAAATATTATATATTTTTAATAAAAAATTATTTTAAATAAATATTATTACTAACTGTAATTAGTAAAATATTTATTTTCATTATATATAAAAGTTTTTAATTTTATTATTATATAATTTTTATTTTTTAGCTCAAAATAAAGCTAAAGTTTTTTTTATTTTTTCAGATGTTTGTATTTTCTTAGAAAGT